TAGTATTAATGCTTTTGAAATCGAAGGTGAGGTAAAACTCAAATGTCTGAGATGTTGAACCAGAGCATTGAATTGTGGTAAGTTATGACTTAAAATGGGAGTTAAACTTTCTGGAGATTCCACTGTCTTCTCAATTACCTAGACTCTAAACCTGAAAGATCTCTCCTTTTGGCTGTTTCTTCTCCCCTATATTTGAGTAGTTGGTTTCACTTCTGTAATACCTCTTAAATGAATCTCTCTCTTTCCATTCCCATTGCCACTTGCCCTAGTTCAGGTCTTCCCCAGTCACCTATCACCTGAACTATTGCAAAATATACTCCTAAACTAGTCTTCCCACCTGCGCTCCCTGCCTGCTCCAGGACACCCTTTACATTGTTCCCCACATGAAAAATCCTCTTAATCTGAGGTCTCAGAGAGAAGGTCCACAACACTCCCGAGTGCTGCCTAACCAGATTAAAATGTAATTGGAAAATATTTAACAATAAAAATACAGTAAAACATAGATAATGTTAATATGCCATTTTCTAAGTCAGTTTGCAGCCCATGAGGAGTCTTCTTAAGTGTGGTTTAATATCCCCTGTTCCTGTTTGCGTTTGACACCACAATTCTTAATGTACCACTCTGATCATTCCACTTCTGTCTCAGAAACCTTTCAGCTGTTTTAGCTAATCAGTTAACCTTTACAGGGAAATATTAGAGCAAGGGCTAGCAACCCCTTCAGCTCTTTGAGTCACCAACAGTGTCAGTCAATGTTTGTGGGTGCTGTTGTCAATCAGCTAGCATTTATTAAGCACCTACTATTTGCCAGGCACTGTGCTAAGCCCTGAGGATACAAAGAAAGGCAAAAGACGGTCCCTGATCTCAAGGAGCTCCCAGTCCAATGAGGAAAACAATGGACAAACAACTACGTCCAAACAAGCTATATGCAGGATAAATTGGAAGGAAGGCATTAGCATTAAGGGGAATGAGGAAAAGTTGCCACAGAAGGTAGAATTTTACTTGAGACTTGAAGAAAGCCAGGAAAGCTGAAAGGCAGAGATGAGAGAATTCCAGGCAGAGGGGCAGCCAGGGAAAATCCCCAAAGTTGGGGGATAGTGGCCTCCCTCTGGGATGCAGGGAGAGTAATTAATTCCTCATCTTCCTTCGCCCCTGCTTTCTAACCTACTGTTTCTATTTATAGAATCACCATTCTTCTAGGATCCAGATCTCAGCCATCATCATCAACTTCATTTTCCTCATCCTTTGACAACTAATCACTCACCATGTCCTAGGTTTTCAGCCTGTTATCCAGCACTGTGTTAGGTGAGAGGAATACAGATACAGGCACCAAAATAATCTCTGTTCTCAAGAGAGTGTATATACAATTATATTTGCAGAATAAATACAAAATAAATGTAAGGAAGTGAAGGAGGGCACCATCAGCAGTTGTGGGGATCAGGAAAAACTTTGCTTAAAAGATATGGACCATAGAGCTGTGTATAATAAACAGGGAAGGCCAGTTTTCGAGATTGTAATGTGCAAGAAAAAGAGCAGTAGTGAGACTGGAGAAGTAATTTGGGGTCACATAGTTGTGAGGGGATTTAAAAATAAAACAGAGGAATTTATGTTTGATCCCAGAGATAACAGCAAATAGAATTCAGTGAGTGAGGGGGTGGGGGCGACGTGGTCAGATCTGTTTGATGAATCACTTTGACACCTTTGTAGTGAGGGTGAGACTTGGGGCCAGGAGACCACTGGTGAGGGCATTGCAGTATTCTAGACGCTGGGATGATGAGAGCCTGACCTGAGATGAACTGTTCATTCTGACTTGGTATCTTATGCTTATGTTTCTTCTTTCCTTGAGGGCAAGGGAATGGGCATTATCTCCAGAATTTTGCATAATACCTTATCCATGATAGAGACAGCTCCATTCATATCAATTCTGTACTTGTAGTAATTCCCTATTGCTTACGGAATTAATTACAAACTCCTAGCCTCCATTCAAGACCCTGCACAGTTTGGGTCCAGCTGCCATTCCAGATTCACCTCGGCTTACCCAGCGTTTTCAGGACTTATTGGCCATCCTTGTATCTTTTTGTGCCCTGCACCTGGCATATAGAAAAATCAGTTTTTAGGGGTGAGGGTGAAGTTTAATCTTAAGTCTTTTCATTTTGCTGTTTGTGTTAGAGTGAACAGGCTTCATGATGTAATAGAAAGAAAGCTATTTGAGGACAAATACCTGGGGTTCTAAATCTGCCTTTACCCCTCCATCACTAGTTATGTGACCAGGGCAACTCGCATCAGTCTTTTTGAGCCCTCATTTCCTTTTCGGTGAAATGAGGGAGTTGAGCTAGACAATGTCTAAGGTCCCATCTAACTCTTAACAGTCTGGGAGACTATGTTAACTAGATTTTTTTTTTTTGGCTAAGTAATGGGTTTAAGTGACTTGCCTAGGATCAAACAGCTAGTAAGTGTCAACTGTCTGAGGCTGGATTTGAACTCAGGTTCTCCTGACTCCAGGGCCGGTGCTCTATGCACTGCGCCACCTAGCTGCCCCCAGCAGATTAGATTTTATTGTTCTATTTAGAGATACTTGTTTTTCATCTTTTGCTTACTCTTCACTTAGAGAAAACTTTGCAGCTCTGGAAGGCCATTGGCGATCAGCAGTGACAATCCTTGGAGTTTGCCCATCTCCAAGCAGGTAGAGAAGGGAGAATGGAGGCTTTCCTACATGCGTAGAGTTAGACGAACCCAACATATTGTCCTCTATTCTTTCTTTCGTTTTCACCCTCCTGCACCACCCTACACTGGCCGCACTCTCTTCCCTTCCTCATTTTGTCCTTTGGTGTAAAACCATTTAGCCCTTCATAATGTTCTTTCCAGTACCTTGGCCCCATGTCCTGTCAATGATCTGACATTGTCACGCTCCCCCTCAGAATCCTCTTCTCATCTGCTGCCTTTGCTTCTGCTCAAGGACTGCTGGATGAAACTACAAAACTGCGCTGCCTCGGTCCACTACAGATTCCTTACATAATTTCATCCAGGCTTTCTGTCTTCAAAAAGTTTTATAGTCTGGTAAGGGAAGATAAGTACATAGTTAGTCAGAATGTGATTGCAGTAAGGGTACAAAATGTTATGGAAAATAACATAAAAATAAGCAGAATCCTGTGACAAAGTGTCGTAAGAGGGAGAAGTCACATCTCATAGAAGCTACGCTTTTCATTATGCTTTCATGTACATTTTTTTATTTGACTCTCAACAGTAACTTTGTCAGTCAGGTAAGTAGAGATTTTTTTTTCAGTTGAAATAGAGGCACAACAAAGTTCAACACACCTGTTTACATTTGATGTTCTACTTTTCCAACAGTACAAATTATCAAGAGCTAGATGAAACTTTTTTTAAGGCAATTGGGGTTAAGTGACTTGCCCAGGGTCACACAGCTAGTAAGTGTCAAGTGTTTGGTCTGAGGCTGGATTTGAACTCAGGTCCTCCTGACTTCAGGGCCCATGCTCTATCTACTGTACCACCTAGCTGCCCTAGATGAAACTTTTTGAGGAGGGAAGAGGAGAAGGTGGTCTGCACCTTTGATTTCATCTACCTTTAGGCATCTATTAGTCTAGGAGGAGTAGTCTATGTGGAATACGTACACAAATATCTTTGTTTCTTATTAAGAACATTATTTTCAGAGTCTCCTAAGCAGAGGCTTGAAGGTTGTAAGTAGACATGAAATGGAGATGAGAGAGAGCAGAATGAGATTGGGGAACAGGGAAGTAGTCACTTTGCCCAGAGTATGGAGTGTGTAAAAGGGAATATGAGGAAATAAGGCTGCAAAGCTAGGCTGGATCTGGCTTTTATTTTGTTTGGGGGGTGGTGAGGATCACTGGAGGTTTTTGAGATTTTTTTTTGGCATCCTGAAGGAAGGCTTAGAAATGGGGAGAAACTAGGCCCAAAGAAACTACTTAAGATATTAGTGCACTATTCCCACCGAGAAGTAGAAGGCTTTAATAAATGCTAATGATAATACCTTAATATAATGCTTTAAGGTTACAAAATGAGGCCTGGGAAAGACTTGGATTTAGAAAGGCCAACGTCATCCCAGGCCATCAGCAGTCTTCTTAACTTTTGTCTTGCCAATTGGCTTCAATGACTTCAGAGAAGAGAGTGAGGCTTCATTTAAATCCAATTCATGCAGAAGTCAAGATATCACCCTTGTGATGTCACTGGTCCTCTTCTGGGGATGATGGGCACACAACTTACATCTTTGTTTACATTTAAATTATGCAAGCTTAATTATTTGGTCTCACATACCCTACCGTGATCCATCTTCAGTTAAAGAATCCTTTACAGTGTGGTCATTGTACCACAAGCATGTTGTTGGTCTCCATACTTTTTTCCTTCAAAGTTCGTGTTTTATCATGATGTGAAAATGTGATGACGGGCCAGCAAAGCACCACTTTTGTCACGTCCTGCTAAATTGGAAAGGCCTTGGTGACTGCTTATCTTCTACTGAATTGTCAAGGATCTTGTAGACCTGAGGCAGTTTGAGTTAACCTCCCCAACTCCCATACCACCAATCAGGTCTGTTGTGGATAGCCCCTGGGCATTTTGAGTTGGTTTTGCTCCAGGGAGATTGTTCCAAAATCTAGCTGTGGGCTCTTTGAGTGAAGAATACTTATATACCCTCCACTCTGTGGCTTGAGTAGGAAGCTCCTGAGACCCTCCTGGAAATTCCTCAAGAGCTGCTTTGACTTGAGGATCACTGAGCATGGTTTTTTTAAGTATAGTTGTTTCTCTGAACCCTTAGTCTCCTGGTATGCCAGATGTGGAATCCCTTCCCCACATAACTGGTTTAGCTAAGTTCGAAGAAATGTCACCAGAAGCTTGGCACCAGATAATAATGCTTTTAGACCATCTATGAAGGTATCAAGGAATTTTGATTTGTATTGGCATAAAGTGTACCTGATAAAATGCAGTATCTTTGAAGCAACTAATATTTTTCTTTATTTTCTCTATTTCTGTAGCAGTTGAAGCCATTTTTTATGAAGGAAGTAGGTAATCATTTTGATGAATTTGTGACCAATCTTATTGATAAATCAACCTCACTGGATACCTCTGGGTCTGCGACATCCTTTGCTATTCTCAACAGAGGGAAGAGTAACCACAGAGCTAAGTAAGAATGTTTGTTTTTTCTTTCTTCATTATAACTTTTGCCTTGTTATTCCCTATTATGGCACCAGATTTCTAATAGCCCTTTAAGTATTTAAAATTTCTTCCTCTTTGCCAGGGATCTGAGAAATCGTCCAGAAGGAAAGCTTTTTGTTGTAAGAAGGTCTATGTTGGAGTGAGTATATCTTGCTTGCATTTGTCTATTACAATGGATGTGCTAGTAGCACACCTGTCTCAAATTGTATGGAACCTACATTTGGTAATCTCGTGTTCTAGTCTCCCTCCCCACCTATAGTGTCGCCACCTTAAGTGTTCTGAATTTAAAAATGAGATTTTCTGGTCATCATGTATATAGACTATGTTACCATTCTTTTAAGAAAAGTGTTAGAACACAATTTCAAACAGGAAATTTTTATTTCAATATCTTAAAACCCTCAGTTTGCTTTAGTCAGTTACTGAAGTTATTCTATAGGGTAGCCTATAGCTAAGGAATGAAGTTTCTGACATGACTGGACCTGAGGAGAGCACCAGCCTGAGGTAAAGCAGCCAGTGTGAAGGTACGACAGACTGGGAAGTGAGGAGAGTGGCTTAGGCTTCTCATGATAGCGTGATTCTGGGCAAGAATTCACCAGTCATCCCGTTCAGGGATTGGCAGACTATACCATGGGCCACATCTGGCCTACCACCTGTTTTTGTACAGCTCATGACCAGAAAATGTTTTTATGTTTTTAAATGGTTGGGAGGGAAATTTCAAAAAAAGAGTAATGTCAGCACATGAAAATGATCTGAAATTCAGTTGAGTAGTTGCAGCAGATTGTGTGGTCAGCACCCTGCTGCTCAGCAAATTGAATTGATGGGGCAGCTAGGTGGCATAGTGGATAGAGCACCGGCCCTGGAGTCAGGGGGACCTGAATTCACAACTGGCCTGTATTAATAGGATTTAGTGAGGTTCGGATTCGCTCCTATAAATGACACTCTCCAATGCACCAAAAAATAATAAGAAATAGATCGTTTATTTAGAAGAAGCAAGGCACAGATAGTTTGAATTTGCATAGAAAGCATATAACAATAAGAACAATCAATAACATAGCACCGATCAAGAGAGTCGGTAATGGAAGAGAATACATCACCAATTCAAGGGAACCTCCAAAGTCAATCAACGGCTGGGAGCCCCGTTGCAGCCCGTACAAACTTGAATTGTGTAAAGATTTTCCCGGGCAAAGCGTCCTTCCCGCGGGGTGAGGCTCAGCGGGCTTACAGGACGCAGTGTTTTTATATTGTTCTAAACAAAGAAGGCTTGGGGCCAAGAAGCCCTTTTTGATGCATGCACTATTCATGGTTTGTTCAATACACATCTGACCTTAGCCACGCTCCCATCCGCCTGAGGCTTGGTATTTTGTTTTTTAATAACATCACGTCTCACAAGGAGAGGAGCCAACCCTCCATGTCAAAGTGACCTAGGAATGGCTAGTTCCTGGAATGCTAGGCCAAGAACACTCAGGAGATATGGAACGGTCATGACCGAGATTTGATCTGAACCTATTTATTTGAGTGATCTTATTAATTTAAAGGGGAATTTCCAATTTCCATTTCACGGCCTCAGACATATGATATATACACTGGCTTGTGTGACTCCGGGCAAGTGACTTAACCGTGATTGCCTTGCCAAAAAAAGGAAAAGAAAAAAAATTGAATTGACACCATTCTAGCTCAATAGCATTTTGAATGCCGCGAATATTGTTGCAGTGTGATTTTTAAAAAAATTATCAGTGTGTATACCCATCATGTCAACACAAGAAAAGAAAAAGATATATTATGGTTTTTTTGAATTCATAGTAGAGATTTAAATTCTTGTGAATGTGAAGAACTGTCTTCAACCACTATTTCTGAACATTAACTGGCTTTGCAAATTAGCTTTTACTGCAGATCTGATAACATTTCTTAATGAATTCACCCTAAAATTGCAAGGCAAAATAGTGCTTGTGTGCAAAACTTATCCCACAGTAAAGTCAGTTTGATAAAAACTAATGTTGTTTTAGTCACAAGAAATGTCAAGCTGCTTTATCTGGTGTGGTCAAAAGTTAAAATAAGAAATGAGATCTCCATTCCCACATACATATATATATTTCCAAGTTCATACTGCAGTTTTAATATCATTTTTCAGACCTTAATATAAGTACAAAAGAAATGTTCATATTTCAAAATCTGTTTTATTGTAATTGAGGAGCTTCTACTTAATCAATTAGAAATGATTAATCTGTAGTGTAATGACATAATAAAAGGTAAGTACCAAGAGAAGAATCTAATAGAAATTTATAAATGCCTTTCAAGTGATAAATATATTCAATTGAAATCATATCCTTGTGGACTAATAGCAGTATTTGGTGGTAACTATTTGGGTGGAAAGATATTTTCAGAGGTGAAATGTGTAAAATCTCATTATAGATTAGCATTGAGGTGAGCATTTGCAATTGATTTTGATGACAGAGTATACTAACTTTGAATCCAATTAAGTGAATGTTATCCTTCAAAAAAGAATTCCATTCTTCTCATTAGTAGACCTGTATTATCTGCACTCAATTATTTTTATATTTGGAATCTCATCAGTAAATTTGTTGGGAAATTTTAAGTACCTGTGTAATATGTTTGATTTTGCCTCTTGACCTGAAAAGCCTAAAATATTTATTGTCTGCCCCTTTGTAGAATGTCTGCCAGCCTCTGATCTTGTTGGCCTCAGGCTGGAGTCATTCTCAGTGGGATGAGGTAGCCTGTTTGTTGATGGGGCTGATTGAGGAGTGAGTAGGAAGGAAAGGGAGTACAGTGGTTTAGACTTGTGATGATCATGGCCAACTCCAAATAGCTTTTCATGATGGCTAGATCAGGTCATTGCTCCACCAGCAGTGCATTAGTATACCTGTTTCCCCACAGCCCTTCCAGCATTTGTTATTGCCTTTTTTGGTCATCTTAGCCAATCTGATTTGTGTGTAGGGTAGTCCCTTAGAGTTGTTTTTAATTTGCATTTTTCTGATTAGTAGTGATTTAGAGCATTTTTTCATATGGCTATTGATAGCTTGAATTTCTTCCACTGAACACTGCCTTTTCAAATCCTTTGACCATTTCTCAGTTGGGGAATGGCTCTTATTCTGGTAAATTTAACTCAGTACCCTACATATCTTAGTTTTCTAATCTTCAAAGTAGGATAATGATTTCCGCTCTCAATCAGAGAAATATTAGAATAAAAAAAGTATTGAATTGTTATAAAGAACATTTTATGAATGCAAGGTGGTGTAATTTGTATTTTAATGACATTTCACTTTCAACTTTATTGCAGTGAGCTATTTGAGGTAGACCACATTCGAACAATATATCATATGTTTATTGCCCTCCTCATCCTCTTCATTCTCAGCACAGTTGTAGTGGACTACATTGATGAAGGAAGGTAAGATAATATGGAAAACATTGTTGAATTTGGCAAGGGAGATTTAAGTTTTTATTTCTGTAATTTAAATTTGAGTAATAAGTACATTTGACAATGGAATGTAAATGTCCTGTAGAGAGAAATGATGCCTATGATAACTATCTATGGCCTAGAAATAAGCAGCAGCTATATATCTCATAGAGTAGAAGGCACAAATAACTGGAAATTTTTTTTAAGTGCTAACTTTTGAAGTGGAAAATCTCATCTTTTCTTAGATACATAAGTACTTGTTTAAAAAAAATAAAACTTAGCTTGTAGTTCAGATTTTGCGTGTTATTTTCAGAACATAAGGCTTGCTTGCTATAGAGAGTTTTCAGAAGCACAAGAACTAGAGATTTAAGTTTTTAATTAGAGCCCTGCAACAAACAATACAAGCTAAAAATCTGATTTTTAGTGTTTATAGAGTTAGTCATAAGTACAAGAAATACAAGGTTGTAAGTGTGAAGGTAGTTTTTCTATAACCATTTGCCCCTTGGAGTTCCAGGAACATTATTATTTCTTTTTTGTAGAGAATGTTAGACTATGAATCAAATATGGTCTCTGTCTAGCAGAAGCACATTGAAATTAATTGTGGTAGGATTTCCTATTATAGAGTATTTAAATCATCAACAGAGCTTAGGTAGGGCAGTATATTTTTAATGATGACCTAAACATTTGTGGATAGTATATTTAACTTCCTGTTGTGTTTTATGTATTTTTTTCCTTCTTTTCCAGGCTTGTCCTAGAATTCAGTCTCTTCACTTACGCTTTTGGCAAATTTTCAGTTGTAATTTGCACTTGGTGGTCCATGTTCCTGGCCACACTGATCATTCCTTATTTACTATTTGAGCGCTGGGCCAAAGGATATACCACGAGTTCCCGTCCAGTTGTCCATTCTTTCTTGTATGGGATGCTTTTCATGCTTTTCCAGGTTGTAGGCTTGGGATGTGGAGCAACTTATGTAGTATTGGCCTATACTTTACCACCAGCTTCCCGATTCGTTGTCATATTTGAACAGGTAAGTATCCTAGAATTTTCTAAACAGCTTACATTTGCATTTCCTAACAAAATAAAAAATGTGTAGGCTCTCTTTTGGTTTGGAAATTAAGAAGGTATTCTGTCAGGACTTTTCAGGCATTGAACTTGAATGCTGATACCCTTCTTTTTATAATGGCATCTCTGAAGATAGGGGCAAGTTAAGAGTTCCAAGCCTGAAAGTTAGACAGTTTTATTGCTATTTCTTTTTTGTGGTTTTCTTTAGTTAAGAACAAACAAATTTTAAAGCAACAAAACCCCCAAATACTTTGGATTTGTTTTAACACTATACTTCTGAAGTTTATTGCATCTCTTAGTCATTAATTTGGCTATATAGTCATCATCTTCTATCTCCTGGGTGTCTCTAATGCTGTAAGATTGTAAGTTTTCAGCCATGTTTTTGTCTAATTAAAATTTTTAGTTACAAAATAATGTACATTATAAAATGAAGTTTAGTTGAAAGGTAAGATACATAAAAACTGAGTATTGAAGATGTGTACTTCTAAAGTCATCTCAACTAAAAAAAATATTTGGAATTAACTATTTTGTTGCTTTTGTTCTAATATGTTTGTTGACTTAGCTAATTGAACCTTCTAATTTTTTTTTTGAAACTCAGTTGGTTTCTTAATTTGATACTGGCCGTGGTTGATGTAGTTGGGGTAGGAATAGTGAAAAATGCCTTGGATTACTAGTATTCATCTTCAGAGATGGCTTTTGGCTTGTTTGTTTTTGTTTTGTTTTTGGTTGTCTTTAGAATGAACCTGCTATAGTTATATGCAGAATGAACCAGAGGCATGAGAGGTTTTCATTGTTGTTAGTATATCACATTGTCATAATGGTGGTGGGACTTATAAGAACAATGGAAGATAGTTGAATATTTTCCTTCATAGGTTCGTTTCATTATGAAAGCTCATTCATTTATTCGGGAGAATGTTCCTCGGGTATTGGATGCTGCTAAGGAAAAATCATGTAAGTAATCCTCCTACACGTAGGTTTGAAAGTTAAACTTTTTTGTACCCTACTAGTATACATAATAAATTCAGTAACAGTTTACTCTTAATCTTACGTTTTGACTTGAAAGTGGTTGCCTTTGCAGAGACCCTAGATTTCTTAATTTTGGGTGCCTTATCTGGATTCTTTTAACTAAAATGGGTAGAATAGTACTTATATTCTAATTTCCCAGTTCTTCAGTCTTCTGAGTTCCCTTGCCTACTCCTCCTCCATTGAACCTTCTATAGAAATTTAGCTACATTTGGGATGGTTATGCTCTTGATCTTGTCATATGCAAATATTCTCCTACCTGGTTCATAAATTACAGAATTTCTTAATATTTCTTCCTTAGATATGTCTTTCTGTCCCAACCCTATTCTTTGTCCTCTGAGCCTTTCTCCCCTCAATACTCTCTCAGGCTTTCACCCCTGTAGTGACTACATTTTTCCCACTTCCCAGTCTCAGTCTCTTGGTGAGCCATTTCAACTTTATACTCTACTCTCAGATCCCTTGTCCTTTGTCCAGTCACCACTAAGACCATGCCGAATTGCAAACCTCTGTTAACTTTCATCACCTATTTCTTCATTCCTATGCCTGTGGTGCTCAGTGGAGCTGGAGAACGATATGAAAACATGTTGAGTCCACTATAAATTTGTTATGGGATTCAGCTGGGCCCTCACTGCCACAAGGCAGTTCTTCTACCCTTCTCTGACTCTAGATTTAATGACAGCAGCTCTTCCAAACCCCCCTTTCTCTTCAGATTCCTCCCCTACCTTCTTACCTGAAAACCTTGCCTCATGCTTCACAGAAAAAATTGAAGCCATCCATCTCAAGTTCCCTCGAACTTCCCATTACTATCTTGTCCTTCATTCCTGTCTCCTGACCATGGCCAGCCTCTCTCATATACCCTTGATCTCATCCTTTCCTGTGTTCTCTAGCACATGGCCTCCACCCTGGTCTCTGCTGCTTGTCTAATCATCAGTCTCTTCCCATTTGCTTGGCACAGGAAAAGCACTTAATAAATGCTTGTTGCCTTGACTGTTGGCTAAAAATTTAGCCGCAGCTCTCTCATCCGAGAACAGCCCTACTTTAATCCTACATCCCTGTTAGATGATATCCTGTATCTCTCCTTTCTTTCACAGCTGATTTCCTTTAAAAACAAAACAAAACAAAACAAACCCCCCTACTTGATGCTCTTTTACTTGCTGTTTTTCACTCTTTTCTAAGCCTGTTGTAGTCTGGCTTCTGACTTTAATTTAACTTAATTAAAACTGCCCGCTCCATAGTAACCAGTGATCTCTTAATGAGCCAACCTTGCAGTCTTTTCTCAGTTATCATCCTTGACTTCTTTCTACCTCTTTGTAGCATTTGAAAGTATCGTTCCCTTTCCCTCCTAGATAATTTCTCCTTTCTTAGTTTTAATGACACTGCTCACTTGCTTCTTCTCTTAGCTATGTGACCACTGCTTCTAGTCTCCTTTGGAGGAAGTCTTAAGTGTCTGAGGCCCATATCTGTAGATCTGTTCAGCCTTAGTCTCTTTTCTATATTCCACCATCACCTCTCTAACTTTGTACTGGACATTTCAACCTCACTGTCTTGTAGGGTTCTTGTACTCAGTCTGTGCATAGCAGGACTCAAAATTTCCCCCCCCAAAACTGTCTTGTCTTCTGAACTTTTCTGTTACTGTTGAAAGTGCCACCATTCTTCCAGGCTTCCAGGTTCACAATCTCGGCATCCTCCACTCTCACCCCACATAAGCCACTCAGTTATCAAATCTGGTCATTTCTACCATCACAAGATCTTTTCCATATATCCCTTTCTGTCTACTCACATAGCTGCCACCCTCTCACCTGGGCGATTGCACTGGATTTTTTTTTTAAATAATTTGTTTCTTAATTTTTTTTTTACATAACTGTAGTTTCCTCTAGTATCCCTCCCCCCTCCCCATCTAGAGAACTATTCCATATGACAAATAATTTTTTGAGACAAAAAAAGAAAAGAGGAAAAAAATCAGTCTAACTGATGAATACATTGTACAGTGTGTAATACTGAGGGTGGACCTCCCACCTCTACAAAGGGGTAGATTGAGAGTATCTTCTCATATCTCTTCTTTCAATCCATACTTATTCTGTATAATTTTGCAGCATTCACTTTTGAATTTTTTTGTGATTCTTTTTCTTTCTTTATTATTTATTTATTTATATTATTTTTTTGTGATTCTTTTTATTTACATTCTTGTAATCGTTGTCAGTTTGTTTTCTTTGCTTACCTCATTCTGCATCAGTTTGTGAAAATCTTTCCGTGTGTATCTATAGTCATCATTTCTTATACCATAGTAATCTGTTGCTGTCACAAAAAGTGCTGCTGTAATATTTTGGAGGCTTATAGAGACTTTCTTATCAGTGGCCTCCTTGAGTACATAAGCTCAATAATGGAATCTCTGAGTCAAAAGGTGTGGATATTTTAATCACTTTGTTTGCATAATTCCAAATTGCTTTCCAAAATGATTGTACTGATTTACAGCTCCACCAACAATGCACCAGTGTGCTTTTCTTCCCACAACTTCTCCAACATTGATTATTGACATATTTTGTCATCTTTACCCCAATTTGATGATAATTAAAATTACTATGTATGTTATCAAAACCTGAGAGTTGTTTTGACTTGCTTTTCTCTTATTATTAGTGATTTTGAGATTATTTCGTGTGGTTATTAATAGCTTATAATTCTTCTTTTGAGAGCTGTTTGTTCGTATCCTTTGATATGAACTTATCTGTTGGGGAATGACTTAAGATTTATTTAGTATTTAAGAAGTATTTTGAAGCTTATCTATTGGGGAATGACTTTTAAGATAGCCTTTTAATTGTTCTTCCTGCCTCAAGTGTCTGCGCCCTCAAATTCATACTCTGATTTTCCTGAAATGTGGATGTAACAACATGGGCCTCCTCCCCCCTGCACCATCCCTTGTTTCAGTAAACTCCGGTGGCTCCCCATTATCCCTAGGATAAAATAGAAATTCCTCTAGCATTAAGGCTCTTCACAGTGTGTCCCCTTCCTACTTTTTGAGTCTTCTCACCCCTCACTCTTCCCTTCTGTACGCAGTGCTACAGTGATGCTGGTCTGCTTGTTGTTCTTGGCTCGTGACCCTCCCATTTCCCGTTTCTCTGCCTTTGCAGTGGCTGTCTCCCCTGCCAGGAAATTCCCCCTCCTTACCTCTGCTTCTTGACATCCCATGTTCTTTAGAGTCAACTTAAATGCCACCTTCTTAGTCCTCTCAGCCATCAGAGCCTTCTCCTCCAAGGCTACCTTCCTTCCTTTCTGTACGTAACTTCTATCTACTGTATAGTAACATGTTGTCCCCCTCAGTAGGTAAGCTCCCTGAGAAGAAGGATGCTTAGTTGTGTATTTTTGCTTTCTTTGTATCCCCAGAATTGGCACAAAGTAATTTTTTCCTTAATTTTTTTTATAACATTTTAGTTTTTTCCCCAGTTACATGTTAAAACAATTGGCACAGAGTAATTCTTTAACAAATGCTTATCGAATGGTTATTTGAATCATCCTCTTCAGAGATTACTAGCATTTATAATTGCCATTGTTGCATTTTAATTATGTTTCAAATATGATGTATCTTTCATGACTTTCTGAAAAAATTTTTAGGAAAGTTTAGTCTTACATAAGATCAGTTACTAGTCAAACACATACTTTCTGTGAGGTACCATAAGTGTTATGGTGAGGCAAAGCTGAGGCGGGAGATAGAAAGTGGCCCTGACTGTCATGCACATCTGTGATAAGTCCCACGTTAGCAGCAGCAGTTAGTACCCAGAGCACTCCAGAGCTTGGGAGGAATGAGAGGCCATAGGGAGACTTCCATCTTTACAGGATGACTGGGTAAGATTCAGGTGAGCAAAGAGGGAATGAGAGTGGAAGGAAAGGTTGAACAGAGGAAAGAATCTTACTTACCAGCCTCCCTCCCCTTGTACTGGTCTTCGTTTTCCCATCCTTTTTGTCAGCAGAATCTAAGTGCTCCGACATTAAACAGATTTTTTTTTTAACCTTTTCAGGCCCTGTTCCGATACCTCAAGTCAGCCAGTACTTATACTTTTTGTTTGCTCCTACTCTCATCTATAGAGACAGCTATCCCAGGTAACAGTGGTGTGAAGTGTGAATGGGGCTCCTCGGGTACCTGGAAGCAAATATTGATTATTCAGCAGCAGTTCTTTGTACCAAGTTAAGAACTTTGGAGGCAGGATAGTGTTCTGAGAAGGCTCTGAGTCCTAACGGTTAGCAGAACAAAAACCTTTTATTAACCAAAATATCTGATATGGAGTATCTTGGCTAACTGGTTGTATGCTCTATTGCGACTTTACCAGAAAACCTCTTTTATCTAAACTTTTTTGAAAATCTTCATTAAATGTATTATTCCTTTTTTCCTATTGTTGTAAGTAGTTATACAGCAAATATATTGAATTTTCTTTGAATCAGAATACTTTCTTGCCCCTGTGCTCTGCACTTTTGTTTTTGCCTGGTACAGAAGGTATCAGTCATTAAACTAGATGAGTATGTGAAACAGCAGTGTGACATTATTATAAAGACATTGCAAACATACTCTGCCTAGCTTCCCTGCTGTTCCTTGCACGTGGCGGCACTCCCCCCCCCCCCGCTGCCAGCCATGAGCATTTTCTCTGGCTGTCCCCCACTGGGAACCCTCTCCTTCCTGACATCCACCTGCAGCCCTCCCTGCTTCCCTTCAGCTTGAGTCCCAGCAGCCTTTCCCATCCCCCTTCCCTCTGAGATGAGCCTCCCTTGTCTAGAGCTTGTTTGTAGGGAGCGCTAGGTGTGTTGTTTCTCTCGTTAAGGCTGTGAACTCCTTGAGGGCAGCCGCTGTCTTTTGCCCCTTTGTATCCCCCAGTACTTAGCACAGTGTCTGGCACTAGTAGGCACTTAATAATTGCTAGTTAACGATTTGACCCTAATGTTCTGAACACCACTGGGGGCTCTGGCTCCACTCAGCAGTGTTTCAGTGAAACTAACCACTCTTGCACTGTTTTGCCTCAAATTATGTTTTTGTGAATTTGGACCTTAGGTTAGGTAGGCCTACTTGTGTCCTATTCTCAAAAGATCTTAGAGTCAGAGGACCTAGGTTCAAATCCTGGCTATGACATTGACTGCCTCAGTGAGTCTTAAATTTGCTGGGTTTCAGTTTCTCATCTGCAAAATGAGGGGTTTGGACTAGGTGGGCTTTGTGGTCCTTTCCATTTCTAAATCTATGATCCAAGTTTCTCTTTAACAGATGAAAATCCTAAACTTATGTATAAACTTGTACAGGAAATAAATTCCAGTTAACTGACTATTTCTTAGTCTCAGTTAGTTGGATTTTACTCTGGGAATATATTCAAATTCTTAAATTTTCGGCCTGTTGTCTTTTTTCCTTTTCTGCTCTGCCCAACTTCTTTCAGCTTATTGACCTGAAGAGCTAGTTAAAATACATAATGTGACACAATTCACCAGGTGCAGAGCCTGAGCTAAGATCAGAAACTACATTTACAACATGCTATTGTGGGTGCAGCAGATAGGGCATAGGCCCTGGAGTCAGGAAGACTTACCTTCCTGAGTTCAAATCCAGCCGCATACACTTTCTGGCTGTGTGACCCTGGGCAAGTTACTGAATCCTGCTTACCTCAGTTTCCTCATCTGTAAAATGTGCTGGAGAAGGAAATGGCAAACCACTCTAGTATCTGCAAAAAACCCCCAAATGGGATCAAGAAAAGTAGGACACAACTAAAAAATGACTGAACAACAACAAATTTAAGGGGGAAAGCCAGGGCTTACTCTCTTGAGAGAGATGCTTTTTAAACCTTGTCTATAAATATGTAAATGTAAGCTATAACTGAAACACAACCTAGTGCAGAACTAACAAGATTTGTTCTTTCGAATTGACAATATAATGTTTTCTTGAAAATAATTTGCCAAGGTTAAACTGACTTCATAGAAGATCATATTGCCCCAATTTAACAATAATTAAAATTATTAATTATGATCAAAGAAGATACCTACTGATATTTAATGACTCTACATACAAGTTCAAAAAACAGATTCTAACTATGATATTTTCTTCTCTCTTTTTAGGAATCCCACAATCAGATGGAGTTATGTAGCTACTCAGTTTGCACAGGTGAGCAGAAGGACAATAGGCTAATATGAAGTTGGATTGGTGGTGGGTAGAAGTGAATAATGAAATCACATATCATACTTGTTTCTGGAAATGCTAAAACATTGACCCAATATATATGAATTAGAAGGTAATAATATAATCTCAGAAGAGAAAAAGTCATCTAAATATTCTTTATGAAGGGAACAATTTTCTTATTACCTAAATCTTGAATGATTCTTTTTTCTAAGATGATTTACTTTTGGAAATCTGATTCAAATTTGGTTTCTTCATAAAGATTCTGTCATTATTAATATCCATTATTGTCAAATAATGTGTGTTGAATGAATTTCCTATCTAGACTGGGCTTTTTATCTTTTGTTCATTGGTGGCATAAAATAGTGCTGACCTTGGGAGTTGGGAAGATCTGAGTTCTCACATACTGCCTCAGTGTGACCCTGGCTGGGCAAGTCATAGAATCTTGCTTGACCTCAGCTTCCTTGATAAAAGTGGGATAGTAATAGTACCTTCTTCACTATTTTGAGGTTCCAGTGAGATAATGTAGGTACAAGTGCTTTGTAAACCTTGAGGTAACATATAAATGTTACTATTATTATTATTATTATCATTATTATTATACAATAAACATTTATCCAGAAGGATACTATATTTAGTGCTTATCCATATCAGATTTTCCATTGGTAACAAAAGCATTCACACATACCTCAAGCATTCGTCATCACCTCTTACCTGAACTGTTGTAGTACCTCCTGGCTGGTTTTTCTGACTCCATTTTCTTCCACTCTCCAGTCTATTTACATAGCTGCCGAATTCCTCTTGCCAGTACAAAGGCTGATTATGTTGCTTACCTGTTCAAAAAACTTTCAGTACTTCCCTGTTACCAACAAGATAAAATCAATATTCATTAGACTTACATTTAAAGCTTGTTACTGTCTGGCTCTAAACCACCTTTCCAGCTTTATTTTATCCTTTATTGCTTCCTATACTCTACATTCCAGCCACATTGGATGACTGACTCTTTCCCTGATGTGGTCCAGTCTTCTACTACTAAGCCTTACAAAAGCCACCGTCGAGGCCTGGAACGTACTTCCCTCATTTCTGTATTGTTGAGAGCCTTCTGAGTCCTCAGGATCCGCTGTGGGTGCTGACTTCCACAATTTTTCTTTAGTTTCTTTGTCCCCCAATGTAGCTGAAAGTGATTTCTCTATCTCCAGATTTTCTTTTTATACCTTTGTTCTGTTATTTATAATTTCACCTTTTAGCTTCCTTGTATGTTTATGTTACACACACACACACACACACACACACACACACACACACACACACACACACACGGGATTTATAAATTAGCATGTCTTTTTTTCATCTTTGTATTCCTAGTGCCTAACAGTGCCTTGCTTTACAATTGGTGTTTAATAACATTAGTTGAATTAAGGCAAATATTGTTCTATATCAATGTACACAAAATAGGTGTTAGAATAATATCTTCTAAGAAGTCATTTGGGGAAAGAGTTGGAAAAGAGCTGTGTCAAAAATGGTCGAGGGATAAAGTGAATAAAATAATGTAAATATGATGAAAGGATGTTATTTACATTTGGTGATAATTTAAGTGAAGTGTGCTCGCTTGTGTTGTAAACAAACATGAACAAGCCGTGGTAGTCTGCCTTTTTTTTGTCTTTTTTTTTTATAAATATAAATGGTACTCTACTTTGCTGGCATCGTACGTAACTTTTCAGAGGATGTGTGGCATAGTGGACAGAAAGCTGCTTTTGGAGCGCAGAAGACCTGGATTCAAGTCCAGCCATGGTCACATGCTGGCTGTGTGACCCTGGGTCCATCACTTAACATCTCAGTTAACCTATTCAAACTGTAATTTTCAGAGAAGGGACTGACCTGTTAGGGTAGGAAATCATGGGTCTAGTCTCCACATCCTAATGACTAGATTCAGTTACCTCTGTTCCTCCAAGGGGACTGGGGGGGTGGCAAGGGGGGGGAAAGGTTAAAAAAAAAAAGCCCAGTGATTTTTGTTTTGTTCTAGGTTTTCGGTTGCATGTTTTATGCATATTACATCTTTGAAAGACTCTGTGCTCCCTTGTTTCGGAATATCAAACAAGAGCCATTTAGTGTTCGGGTTTTGGTCCTGTGCATCTTCAACTCCATTTTGCCGGGTAAGAGTAGCCGCACTTAGAAGGTCTTTAGCTGGTTTGGGTAAGCAGTCCAAAAGAGAACCTGAAGGGCTCTTTTATACTCATGTTTGTGACACAGTTCATTTTTTCAGGTGCTGTGTTGTGAAATCACTTCTCTGGGCCATTTGGGTACAGTGCAGTCTTCAGTTGACCAGAACGAACATTCTTAAGGAAAGCTCATTCCCTGCAGTTTTATGCACAAAGATTTAAGTGAACACTCAATCATATCACTTCAAGATAACTAGCCTTGAATGTTGACTTTCAAATCATTTTCTAAAAATGAACAAACTTACAGTGGTGTTCTCAAAAGCCTGCTGTGTATTACCCTTCTGTAAAAATTCGTAGGGCAACTAGGTGCCAGGCCTGGAGTCGGGAAGACTCATCCTCCTGAGTTGGAATCTGGTCTCAGACACTTACTAGCTGTGTGACCCTGGGCAAGTCACTTCACCTTGTTTGCCTCAGTTTCTTCATTTGTAAAATGAGCTGAAGAAGGAAGTGGCAAACCACTCCATTATCTTTGCTAAGAAAACCCCAAATGGAGTCACAAAGTTTCAGACATTTCTAAAACGACTGAACAAAAAAAATTCATAGGCATGTGAGAGTAACAAAATATAGGATTTTAGTTTTAATGAAGTATACAGAGTAGATTCATGCCATGTATTAACTATTTCAAGGATATAATTAACAATCTAAGGGAATAATTTTTTCATTAGAATGATGAAGCTTATGCCACATTAGAAATAGTTAGAGGTATAAAATCCATCATTAATGTGCCTGTTGCTTGCCTTTTTAGGGGACATTATCAAAAAAATCTTAGAGTTGGGAGGAACCTTAGAAAATGGCTTCTCCAGTTTCCCACCCAGTGCTGACACCCCCTCTTCTACATCACTGGCAGTTGGCCATCCATCCGGCTCATTCCATTTTTGAATAGCTATAATTGTCCAGAAGTTCTTTATATTAAGCCAGAATCTGCCTCTTTGTAGCTCTGCTCACATAACCTTTCCAGTCCTTAACTACTACTAGCTTGTTGTTCTCCCCTTCTCTTCAATTAAGGTGTTCTCAGTTTTCTTTAAATGAACCTCACATGCCCTTTCACCATGTTTCCACCCTACATTGCCTTATTTTAAGCTTGTTGTTAGTAGATGACAGCTACGTGTCATCGGCTGGGTGGTGCAGTAGTTAGAACATTGGACTTGGATCATGAAGCCCTGAGTTGAAATACAGCCTCAAACACATCTTAGCTGTGTGGCCATGGCCAAGTCACATAACCTCTGTCTGGCTCGATTTTCTCATCTCATCTGTAAAATGGGGATGATAATGTTACCTAACTTACAAAATTGTTATGAGAATTAAATTATGTTTTTGTGAAGTGCTTTGTAAACCTTAGGTTATATGAATATTAGCTATTATGAAAGGACAAATAATCCAGTTCATCAGCTTTTTGTATATATGCAGTTGCTTTTTTGAACCTGAGTAAAATACTTTATCACTGCTTATCCATTGTCAGTTTCTCCAGTTATTCCAACTTGAAGATCTTTCTGAATTTCAATCTGATCTATAATTCATTATGTGAGCTTCTTCCTCTTAAGTTTTTTTCACTCATAAATTTTATAAGTAGTCTGTGATTTTATCAACATTGATTAAAAAAAAAAAGTTTCACTGTTCAAGGCCAAGAAAAGGCCCTACCACTTGCCCCTCAAGATTGGCTTTCAGTATTGACATCAAGCCACTTTTTGGGTGCGGCTGATCAACAGTCTCAGATTCCCTGTGTGCAGCCTGCATTTCTCTGATTTTGTTCCCGAGAATGAGAGACGGTTAAATTCTAACATATACTTTGTCTTGGGCAGAGAGGTAGCAACCCTTTCAAAAAGGGAAATAAAATGTCCAGAGATCCTGCCACTCTTTAGGGAATTGACTTGGAGTTAACTTATCTGTAGTGTCCAGAATTTATCTTTTTTTTTTTTTAACCAGGACATGTATCTGTGTCCATTCTCCTAGCGTCTTGACCAATTTCCATGGTTTCTCAGAGATGACCAGCAGTGGTTCAGCAGCCAAGTCTTTTTAAAGCTTTTTTTCAGTACCTTGGAGAGCATTCTGCTGGGGCAAGAAACTTGATTTCATTTAAAATAGCTTGGTTTTCTCTTTTGACTGCTTCGCCTATCTTGAAATCTTTTGTTATAAGGATCTTTTCCTACCTAGATGGTGAAAATCAAAGCAAAGCAACAATTGAATTGTTCTGCCTTCCTTCTGTCATCTTTCATACTTTTCTTACAGTTGATTGTCATCCTTTTCTTCTTGCTCTGAATATATAGCATTATGAGTTCTTTTTGTTGTCCTTAAGCGTTTTTGACTGCTTCAGATTATTAGCTCTCCTGACTGCTATAGGCTTGTGCCTCCCCTTATTTTTGTCCACATTTAAGTCATCTCTCCATCAATTTCCAGTCTGAGTTCCTTGGCAAGCCAAGCATTCTGTGCAGCCATCTAAGTTTCTTTAGTTCTGTCTTCCCTTGTCTTCTTCATCAGAATCACAGATCAGAATGTATGATTTCCAGACAGCTAAATGACCAAGGTAGACATTTCAGTGTGAGAAAGGGACAATTCTAAATAAAATGGAAGCATGATTAGGTTTCACTTTATGGTGTTGATGCAAGAAATTTAATAGTGTTCTTGAGTACCTATCTGGGTTCTACTTAGGGGTAGTTAGAGCTACAAATAACTTACTAAGGTGTCTCTACAGCATCTCAAAAATCCAGTTTATGGGAAATTGATAAATAGAATGACTTTCCAGCAGATTTCACCCTGAGGATAGTTGAATGGTGGGTTAAAGAGGGGTTCTCGTTGTTTGTTTTAAGCATAGAATTCCTACTAAGCAAATGATAATGTTTTATTCTGTTGTGCAGTATTAGCTCCCAAGAAGCAACCTGACACTTTATCTAATCTTTCCAGGTGTGCTGATGTTATTTCTTTCCTTTTTTGCCGTATTGCACTGTTGGCTTAATGCCTTCGCGGAGATGTTACGCTTTGGGGACAGGATGTTCTATAAAGTAAGAAACTTGACAGAAGCAGATAATGTCTCATTTTCCTTTTTTTATTTGTGTTATTATACCCTTGTTGCTAATTTCGTATTTCATTAACAGCTGTTAGCTTATGTAAACTATTATTAAAAACTGAGAACAAATTCAGTCTTTTACACAATCTTGTCAGCAGTAGAATTAAACTTATAAAATAGCTCTAGCATGCTCCATATTTCTTTTAATCCTGATTTACATATGATAATTGTAAAGTTTCTTAGTGCATCTTGTGAAACTAGACTGCTGATTAAAACAAGATAAACTTGTTTCATATGGCATAATGAGGCTTTATTAATGACTATTCATAACGTATAAGTTGTCACAGTCTTTACAATGATCTTAGCAAATTTCTTCATGCAATGTTTTCAGGGAGGTAATGAAGAGAAAAAAATATTTATGTCTTTGTTTTGCTTAAAATGGTGTCTCTTGTGTGTGGAGTGTCTGGCCTTAACCTACCACCGAGTCTTCTTTCCCCTTTCTAACCCCTTCTCTTAAGGGAGGCAGTTCTCTAAGCCCCTGGCCCTTATATACAAAGAAAGTTTGTTTGCATATCAACTGTCACTACTCTTTGTCTTGCATAGTAACAGATCGTATTTAATGTGCTCAGAAGACCTTAATAATTAAAAAAGAGAAGTCTGCAGAATGGTTCTGGAGTGTGGAGAAGGCAGTTTTCTCTCCACTCTTAGCTCACAGTTTGTTCTTACCCTCCAGTCCCAAATCCTTATTCATAGCTTTATAATTTTTGTCTTCTAAGCTCTTAGGATTATTTTACCATACTCTTGGGGAAATAGTGTCTTTGTCCTTTATTTGAGGAAATAGTAGACTAGGAGAATAGTTCTGTGTTGTTAGAACTTGATGAAAGTACACCTGTTGGTGCAGCTAAGTGGCGCAGTGGATAGAGTACTGGCCCTGAAGTCAGGAGGACCTGAGTTCAAATACGGCCTCAGACCAAGCACTTGACACTTACTAGCTGTGAGACACTGGGCAAGTCACTTAATCCCAATTGCCTGAAAAAACAAACAAAAAAAAAAAGAAAGAAAGTACACCTGTGGTCTTCTTACTTGTCCAGTTATGAAACTGAATAGTGGTTTTTTCTTGGGAAATCAGTACGATATGGATTAACCAATAATTGATGACCATATTTGGAGGGGGAAAAAACCAGTCCTTGTTCTGTATAGCTCATGATATATGGGTAGAGTTTGTAAAAGTCAGTACTTTTTTTTTTTACCCTTAACATTATGCCCTCACTTTTGTTTTTTAAAGGATTGGTGGAACTCAACATCATATGCCAACTATTATAGAACCTGGAATGTAGTAGTTCATGACTGGCTCTATTACTATGCTTACAAAGACTTCCTCTGGGTGAGTTATAAACTTTAGTTCACACTATCTTCTTAAGAAGTTAGAATGTTTTTAAAAAAGCCATTAAGGCAGTAAAAGGTACCTCACCTCACAAAGAAATAGACCATTCTGTTTTGATTTTCTTGCTCGCTGTCTCTTTCTATCTCTCTTTTCCTCCTTTCTGCTCCCCTACCCTCTTCTTCCCACTCACACCCTCCCTTCGCCAGCCCCTCACTACATCTTGTATTACAATTTAATGTGTTCCATGAAGGCAGGAACTGTCTTTAATCTTTTTTTTTTTAATCTCCCACAGTACCTAGCACAGGGCTACATGTGATATGTATAAAGTTTGTATTGCCCAGTATATAACTGTTTAATAGAAACAGTCCAGTGGACCCCTGTGACTTCGGGTACTATCCCTAATGAGATGGATGGGCTCGTGGCAGTATCTCTAAAGGTTTAATATTCCCTAGTTAATACCTTAGTTCTTACCTAGCTTAGTTCTGTCATGGAATAGTTGCTTTAACAAAAATGTATCTACTAATCAATAGTTCTAGAAATGTATTCAACTTAATTATAATAGATATGCTCCTGGAAAGTTTCGAATTACATTTTTGTAAATGGAATAGTCTTTTGCCATTGACTAATGTTATAGTTTCAGATAGGCTTTGTTTTCTGATTACTCAAGTGGCTATATCTTCTAAAAAATTATAAGTTTCCATGACTGTAGCCCAAGGGTGGGGAACTTATGGCCTTGAGGCCACATGTGGCCTTCTAGGTCCTCAAATGTGGCCCTTTGACTGGATCCAAACTTCACAGAGCTAAGAGGCTAGAGTCTAGCCTCTTTGCATTCGCTAGGATATTATTTCTGAACAATCCTTTGCAAATAAATGATCATCTCCTGGCCTGTTTTATCAGTTGGTATTCTTCCTTTGGCAGCGTAGCTGTGCGGTGATTTTATGATGTATTTCAGGGGTGAGGAACCTTTGGCCTTGAGGCCACATGTGACCTTCTAGGTCCCCTTGGGTGCAGCCTTTTGACTTGAGTCCAAGTTTTACAGAACAAATCCTTTTATTAAGGGGATTCGTTCTGGGAAGTTTGGATTCAATCAAAGGGCTGTGCTTGAGGACCTAGAGGGCCACATATGGCCTCGAGGCTGTAGGTTCTCCACCTGTTAATTGCAACTCTTGAATAGCTTTTTTAGAGAGTAGCTTTTTTAATTTGTGAATCTTAGTCTGAGTACCCTTAAATAATCATGTTCTTTTTGACATGCTTCTTTCTTCCCTTTTTCTCCTCTTCTCCTTTCCCCCCAGACTCTTGTGTATGGGATCATACTTGTTCCTTAGAGAATAATCCTTTACCTGCAGGGAGCTTTTGACTATGGTAGAAGGATGTTCCGGTCTGTATATGATCTATGTCTGAGTTAATTTTTAAACTTTGGGTTTTTTTCCCCAAGTTTTTCAGCAGGAGGTTCAAAACGGCCGCCATGGTATCTGTCTTTGCAGTGTCTGCTGTAGTGCACGAGTACGCCCTGGCCCTGTGCTTGAGCTTTTTCTACCCAGTTCTCTTTGTACTCTTCATGTTCTTTGGAAGTAAGTTTTTATACAAGATTAGAGCAAAGAGTGAAATGCTGAAAGAGAATATTGGCAAGAATTGAACTGGAACGTCAAGTTCAATTATGTGACTAGGTGATGTTGGGGCTTCTGCCCCAATATTCTTAACAGGCCCTTTACTATACCAGTGCTATTGAGACCTTTCCTGATCTGTTTTTAATTATTACTAAATAGGTGGATTCATTGTTATGCTTCATTTTTATTCTTTGGGCTCTTGAAGTACCAAATATCCAGTTGATACTCTGTTAGGCAGTCATAATAGGTGTCTTGGACCTTAGAGAAGATAACCTTGCTGACTGCATTTTTGTTGTCTTCCTTGCTTCTGACTTCCAGTGATTTTCAATTTCATTGCCAATGACAGTCGGAAAAGGCCGATTTGGAATGTCTTGATGTGGACGTCTCTCTTCTTGGGACAGGGAATCCTACTGTGCTTATACTCTCATGAGTGGTATGCCCGTCAGCAATGTCCTTTAAAAAATGTGAGTAGTCTAAGGGGCACTGACTACCAGATCCCAAAATGTGCAGAAATTAAAAAAAACTGGTACTTGAAAAAGGACAGAGAAGTAGAGGAACAGAACAAAATGGAGTCAAGAACCCAGAAATAGAATTCAAAATAGGATTTAAAATAAACCCACACACCCATCAAGGAAATAGAATTTCTGTTCAGTTAAAATTGTTGGGAAAAGTTGCATAGCTGAATAGCAAAAAAGAGGTTTGGATCCAAATCCATGACATTCGTCATAATACGTGCTTGCTTAATCAGTGATCTAAATCTTAAAAATAAAAAAAAATGGGAAAAAATTTGTCTCCATTATGGAGCAGGATATTTTTATCAGTCAAATAGAAGAAAGTATAGGAGACTCAAATCAGTGGCCTTGATTATACCAGAAAATGTTTTCTATAAGAGAAAGCAATATCACTCCAAATGAAATTTGGAAAACTATTTGTAGTAAATACATCACATTAAGTATGTGCAAACTCAATACCACATGAAAAGATGTTCAAACTTGCTTATTTTTTAAAAATACACTTGATTGATCTTTTGTTTCTATGACTCTCGTTTCCTCCATATACCTACCTCTCCCCCTTCATTGAGAGCCCTTCCTTTTAGCAGATTTAAAATTTTTTTAAGAGCCAGAGAAAAAGAAATTCAGCAAAATCAATCATCACATTAAAAAAAAAAATCTGATGTTCTATACTTTTGTATATTCCTCCCTACCTCTTCAAAGGAGTAAGGGAGGAAGAAGTGCCTGCCTTCCTATATCTCAAGTCTTGGAGCTAAGCTTGTTCTTTGTAATTTTGTTGCATTCAATTGCAGTTATTTGGTGGTGATGAGTTTCTCCACTTACACTGTAGTAATTTTCTATTTTGTTTTCTTGGTTCTGCTTACTTTGTTTCATACTCCAGAGATATAGCAAACTTAGCATGTTCAAAACAGAGCTCATCATTTTCCATACAAACCCATGACTCTTGCCTGTTTTTGTTGAAGGTACCATTACCTTTCCAGGTTTGCAGCCTCTGAGTCATCCTTGACTCATCCCTCACTCTCATCTCTCATATCCAATTAGTTTCCAAATTTTGTCAAATTCTACCTCCATAATATCTTCCCTGTCCTTTCCCTTCTGTGACCTCTAAACTAATTCAGGTCCTCAGAAGTTTTTATCAATAGCATCCTCACTGAACTCTCTCATTTCACTCTCTCCCTTGCAATCACCTTGCAAAATAACATTTTAATAACACAAATCTGACTTGGTTATAACCTCTACTCTGAAATAGGCTTAGAGTCCTATTGCCTCCAAGCAAAATCTTTAGCCTGGCACTTGAAGCTCTCCATAAAATGACTCTCACCTACTTTTCCAGTCTTATTTCATATTATTCTTCTGCAGGCATTCTCCATTTCAGGGGAAGTGCCTGCTGGTTGTTTGCCATTCATATCTCCTCCTCTGTGTCTCTGCGTTCGCATTTATGTTCCCTCCCTCACTCCCTTCTAATAGTCTCTCCCTGCTAACCTTTGCCTTTTTGTATCTTTAACTTCCTTCCAAGGGCCGGTCAGGTGCTACCTGACTGTGTCAGGAACACAAGGCCTTTCACAAACCCACCCCCACCTCTAGTTGTTAGTGCATGCATGGGTTGTCACGATTGTTATAATTTTGTATATACTTTGCATTTTCTTATTTCTCTGTTTATCCTCCTAGTCAAATGTATGTTGCTGAAGGAGAGAAGGTTTCACTTTTTAAAATTTGTATCCCCAGCACAGTGTCTTACGTGTAGGATACTTTAAATATTTGTTGAAATAAATTGACTTATCCCAAAAACAGCTTTAAAAAAGGACTCTTGTACGAAAAGATTCATAGCTGCTTTAGTGATAACAAAAATATTTGAAATGATCTATCTGATTAAGAATTGACAGATTACAGTATATTTAATGTAATATCATGCCATAAAATGACAAATATGCAACATATGAGGGAATATGAAAAGACTTATGACAGAATCCTAGAATCTCAGAATTGGAAGAAAACGCAGAACTATTTAGTTCAGCTCCTGTCTGAAGAAGAATCCTGATTAAATGGCCATTAGCCTTTGCTTGAAGGCTCTTGGTGAGGAGAACCCATTACCTCATGAGGTGGTCCATCTCACTTTTGGAGAGCTCTAACTGTTCAGATTTTTTACCCTTACACTAAGCCTAAACCTTCCTCTCTGTGAAATTTCCCTGGTTCCCATTGAGCTTGTACCTTTCCAGCTATACCTATACCTAGCCTATCTTGTGCTTGTGACGTTGATTTTATGAACCCAAATGCAAGAGTCAGCTATTAATTTTGTCCTTATTGGATTCAGCTTGGAGCCTTAACCTATTGAGACATTTTTGATTTTTGACTCTGCCATCTGATGGGTTAGATAACTCTACTCCTCCCCCTCTACCTGCTTTGGATCATTTTCAGATTTGATAAGCATACTATTTTATCAAATGAGATCATATATATAAAACACTTTGCAAACTTTAGAGTACTATACAAATGTCAGCTATTATTATCATTATTATTTTTCTGTGTTCTTTTATCCAAAAAATATACAGTGACTTATGGCCCGACACAGATTCCGGGGGCATCCCATAAGTGAGCTTCTTCTTCTAAGATGGTAACAGATTGTTGATAGCTACTTTGTGGATCCAGCAGTTCACCCAGTTGTAAATCAAACCCACATTTTTCTCCTCTTTTTCACAAGAATTGTATAGGAGACTTTTGTAATACTAGTCTAAAATCTTGGTAACCAGTGTCTACAGCATTGCCCTGGCCCACCAGTCTATTCTTGAGTTTTGGGGGGGAAAAAAGAGATATATGTATATATATTTATGTATATATTTATGTATATATGTATGTATATATATTTATATAGATATAGACACAGAGAGAGAGAGAGAGACAGAGACAAGGTTACCATAGCATGCCCTACTATCAGTAAAGCTCTGGGTAGTCACTGCTGCTCTTTGCAGGTGTCTGCTCGCCATTCTTTTAATAATACAGTCGAGAATTCTGTCAATTGAAGTCACACTCACCACCCTGTAATTTGCAGGCCCCATTTTCTCCCACTCAGTGTGACTTAGCAGTCGTCTCTGCCAGTTCTTTAAGTCTGTTAGGATACTATTCATCTGGCCCGATGACCTGAACTCATTGAAGGCAGCCAGGTGTTCTTACTGTTGCCCTCTATATGTTGGATATTAACTTGTATTATCTCCTTTTTTGTTCTGTTCTCATTCTCCTTGACAGAGTAAATGAGCAAATTGAGAATCATGTTATTCTCTCTCATCCATTACCAATATCTTGTCTACTTCAAACAGTGGTTATCTCTTTGATGCTCTTTTACCCCAATGTAGCCTTTAAAAACATCAATTTTTTAAATTTTTTTACTTCTTGCTCTCCAGCCTCAGCCTATTTTGAACTTTTGTGCTCCTAACACTCTTGGACTCTGCTTCTCTTCTGGTCATTCTTTGGCTGCCCTTGCAGTTAACATATCTTTCATGTGTCTTAAAAATTTATTTTTTAGTTGATTGATGAGTTTCCTCATACAACCCCATCAGCCCTTCTAAAGAGGTCCCTCTTCTCTTCATTAGAACTATTTCTCAGTCTCTTCTTTCATTCTTGAGAGTGTTAGTGTTAGATCATTGGATTCCATTTAGCCTTTCCCTGAAGCCTTTGCAGTCTGCCTTGCTAAAATCTTAGGATAAGAGGTGTAACCTGAGGGACATCCACAGCATAGCAGAAAGATGGCGTTGGGGAGGAGAAAACCTGAGTTCATGTTCTGCCTCTGATAGGAACTTAGCTGTGTGACCCTGGACAGGTTATTTAAATCTCTTAGTACTCCGGTAACTTGCAGAGAAGGTGCTGACTTCATATTGGTAACAGGAGTTTTCCTCGGTTGGGAATTCCCTATACTAAGGAAATCATGGGTGCAGTTCCTCTCCCTTTCACTACAAGAGGTCATATGCAGTGAAATCAGCAGAACTGAAATGGGGAGCAGTGACTGCAAACTAGATTGATTGCAAGAAAGGAATAGGGACCAAACATGGTAGAACTTCTGATTGGATTGGGACACACAGGTCAAAAAGGCTTCTTTTTTTTTTAAACTTGTTAATTTAGTTCCACCTTGTTAAAGTTAAGTTTTGTATAAAATTTTGCCCCTTGTTTGATATATTTACTTATCTATGTTGACAATTATTAAACTTGATTTATTTTTAAATGCACGTAAAATAACTTCAATATTGAATGAGACATATGGGCAGTGTTAAGCAGTTAGTTGTAAGAGTGAGCTTATGTAAGATTGAAACAGGGATTTGGGGGCGAGATAAGATCTGAAATTTCAGATGATAAATTCTTATAAGTTTATCTGCTTTTTGGATATCTTTGGTCTTATAATGCTTTTATCTAATGCTTGTATTTTCTTCTTTCTTCCATTTATTCCCTCTTTCCCACTTGACCAGTCCCAAATTGAATCTCAGCCTGCCAAAAGTAGGGCTGAACTGCTAGGAGCTGGGTTTATAATGACTGAATCTTTTTAGTATTAGTCTTGATTGGAATTCAGTAAGAGAGAAGGGTGCTCAGTAAACATGAGTAATCAAGTTGACTGTACTTCAAAATGTAAAATGCCTAGCAGAGTATAAGTTATAAATTAGATGAAGCTATTACACATCATTTGAATTATATCATTTATTTGATTTTCTAAAATTTGAATTTAATCAGTTATGTAGTATGATTTTGCCTAAAACCCATCAAAAATCCTGTTGGGTGTTTTAGAAATGTGTGATATAGAGATCTGCCATCTCATGGCTCACTTGTACACTAACTCTCCCATCCTATTTCTTGCAGCCAACGTTTCTCGATTATGTAAGACCACGCTCCTGGACGTGTCACTATGTATTTTAAACACTTGGACATAAGCTTTCTTTCTTGATTGAATATGTGTGCCACCTGATTCTGGAAAAGCAGCTGCTGTAAAAAAAAAAAAAAGAAAGATACGCTGTATCAAGTAAAATCGGATTTCTCTAAGTGACCCCGTCCATTTATAGGTGACAAAGCCAGTTCCATGCCAGTCATCTTAATGCCAAGGTAATGAGTCAAGTCTAGTGGAATGCTGTTAAAGAGGAATTTTTTTTTCCTCTTTGGGGATAATCTCTAAGGTACAGACAGATTGTGGCTGAGTCAGATCTATCCAAAGCTTAGCAGTTGTGTCCATCCGTTATTTATCTTTCTGTACTCGTTTGTTGAACGCTGTGTATGTTTTCTTAGGTACTGACATAGCCAAAACACATGTAAAGAATTAATGCTTTGAATATCTGTTGTTAGCAACTTATTTCTATGCATATTGTCATTATGTGTATTGATTAAAAATGTATTTGAAAAGGAGAGTAACATATTTAAAGAGCATATGTCATTGATTTTTACAAAGATGATTCTTAAACTTTTTTGTGTGTTATTATAAAATACGCTTAAGAATCCACTCAGTTGAGTCAAAAAAAAAATTCTGCATTCAAGCTGCCATTTCACATTTTTCTGTTCTCTAACATTGGCTATGTGATTTATGTGACACAGAAGAAAGCTTTTCTATTAGAAATCCTATATAGGTTCACATTCCCAAAATTTGCATTTATTCCTGAGCAAGGCCTAGAAGTAGGAAGAGACAATAGAGGGTTTGGTTTTGTTCTGGTTTGCTTTTCCTATAACCCTCCTAAGCCATTTGTTTCTTTTTTGCGGGGATGAACAAGTATTGGAATTATTTATTATGGAGCTCATTACATAATAGCAAGGGCATAGATTTTTAGAACAACTTAGTCTGAAGACTTTGTTACTAGCATTAGTAAGAAGGTAGCAGGCGAATCTCTCTAAGTTGCAGAGCAGTTGCTGGTCTGGAAGCTTCCTACATCCCAACCAATGAAATCGCTTGTAGACTAAAAAAAGACTTCAGTGAATCAACAAGGATTTATTGAGTACTTACTCCATGATTGGCATGTGTTAAGCTTTGGGGAGACAAAGGCATTGCAAGAAACAGTCCCTGCCCACAAGGAGCTTACTGTTACTATTATCTAGTGATTTAGGGTATTTGGAAACGAAAACACACACTTTTATAGTACAAGGAGTGCCACAGTAATTAAAGTAACTCGGATTTCTCCACTGGGGATAGTATTGTTGCTCGTAGTTTCCACTATTAATAAAAGTATATTTTATAACCTGTTTTCTCTTCTGTGACATGCTTCCTATATTCTTATATGATATTCAGATACTACCTTAATATTTTTTGATATCTGGGACAAATCAGCATTGTCTTCCTTTGTGCATTTTCAGACCTCCTATGTTATGATGGGAGAGTTAGCAGTATAACCACTAAATTACAGTAATGGGGATATATATCATGGGAACATATGTGGGGCAGATTGAAGACTGAGTGAAGCTTGTTCTGTCGAGTTTTGGGTTAGTCTAAGAGACCATCAAAGCTTTTATTACAGGGAATATTAGGCAGCAGGATTATGCTTGGTAACTAGCGTTAACTTGAGGCATTTTCTGTGTATGTTTTACTAGATCTCTTAGCTTTGTGAAGGGGACAAAGAAACAGCATTTTCTGTATGAATAGGAAGTTAATTCCTGAAACAGCAGTGTCTAAAAGCAGCCTGTTCTCTGTGGTATCTGTACCTGGGTGCTTTTCCTCCTTTCCAAGTTAAGTTGTGGTTCACATGATTCAGAATCAGCTGCCAAAGCTAGAATGAGGGCCTGTAGCCTACTTACTTCCTTTTTCCAAAAGCATCTTTCGTAATTTCTGTGTCTTGCTCATTCCTTTTTGCATTGACTGAACATTTATTTGCCTTTGTGCTTTTAGTAGAACTTCACGGTCTCAGTTTTTGTGTTTTTCCACTCCCACTTGAGCTGGCCCCCAAGTTCTCAGCCAAGGACTCACTCACCTTTTACCTGAGCAGCTGCTGTGTGTTGATCTTGCTGACATTGCCTTTTGTTTATCTGAAGTGGCAGGTGTGTGTTTTCATTCCGTCTTGTTTTAAATACATTTGTAACGTGGGAACATTGCCCCCCACCAGTGTTGACATTTTAGCAGTAGATACAGTGTGGAGTTGAAACTCAGTGAGCAGCTGTGCCAAGGAACAGGCTGGTTGTCCCCCAGTGAGAAGCCTGCTGCCTGAGCCATAGCGGCAGCTTCCCTTGTCTGGGCCATTCACCCATTGTACATTATCCACAATGTTATTCCAAGGAAAACTGATGGTATACTTCAAAGGTGAAGTTATTTTTACATATTTATCAGACTTCTGATCCTTTGTCGTCTGATTTTTCTGAGTGCCTCCCTTGAATCCTCCTTTGTTCATTGGTACTACAATTTGTTTTTTAAACAGACAAGATGCCTTTTTTAAACTTTGAAATACATGAGAAATGGAGAAATACCACTCACATGAAGAATACAATAAATAAATATATTTGGAAAAATACTGGGTTTTGTGTTGTTACTGGCCCTGCATTGGGGAGGGTGGGAGAGAGGAATGAACATTCATATGGCACCTACTATATGTCAGGTGCTTTGCTAAGCCTTACCTGAGAGTTCTGTATGTCACTGAAATCTTAGATCTAGAATAGAATTAAGGAGTGTATATGAGTGATATAGAAGTGGAATCATGGCGATTGATTTGAGATGAAAGGAAAATAAAAAATTCAAAGATAACCCAAAAGATGCTAACAGGAATCCAGCCATAGACAGAAATAATCAGATGGAGGATTAGCCTTATCAGGAAAGAATAAATTTGGTTTTGAATATTTGAGTTTGGGGTGCCAGTAGAACATCTAGATAGACAAATTCTTTAGCCTTCTGGGAATATGGGTATAAATAGCGAAAGAGTGGTTAGGACAGGAGATGTAATATGATTTGAGTGTCATTTGCTAAGGGGTAATTGTTTTAAGGAAGAAATTGCAAAGGAAAGAAAAGGACTAAGGACATACCTTTAGGGAATACTTCCATTAAGTTACCAGGAAAAGGACAAAGAAATTGGGATAGGAGTATGAGGAGAATTCAGAGTAGTCTTGGAAAGCATAGAGAGTATCTAGTAGGAGGGAAATAGTTAACAATGCAGAGCGTTCAGAGAGGATGAGGATTGAGGGAAGGCCATGGCATTTGGTGATGAAATTATTGTTGACTTTAAGGAGCAGCTTCGATAGAGTGGAGAAGTATCACAGGAATCAGGATCTCAGATTTCATCTCCTCTTTTTTTTTTTTTAAGTGAGGCAATTGGGGTTAAGTAACTTGCCCAGAATCACACAGCTAGGAAGTGTTATGTGTCTGAGTCCATATTTGAACTCAGGTCCTCCTGACTCAAGGTCCAGTGTTCTATGCACTGTGCCACCTAGCTGCCCCAATCTCAGATTTCAAAAGGACCTATCAGCTTCTCTAGGAATCAAGGTGCAGAATCAGTTTGGGGAAGCCAAATCCCAATTTGCAGACACAGGCGAGTGCTCATTTAATAGATACCAAAGACACTGGAAAATAGCAGGAATTAACCTGCTAAAAATTGTGACCCGTATTATATGTGAATTGTTTTGTGTCAAAAAATCATACAGTGCCGAAGGGGAGGGAACTGGTTTGGAGGAAGGGCAGAAAGGTCCCATAAGAATAATTAAAATTGCATTGCCACTCATGAAGGGGAGGAAGATTTAATTCATTAAACATTTATTAAGCACTTACTATGTGCCAGGTACTGTGTCAAACTCTGAAGATACAAAGGAAAAACAAAAACAGTTCCTGCCCTCCTAACATAAAGAGGTAAATTTGACCTTGAGATTCTATAGTGTTAGACTAGCACACATCTCTAGTTGGGTTATGCCATGTGTAAAAGAAATGGGATGGCTAAAAGCTCAGGTATAATAGCATTACATATTAAGAAATATACTCCTGAGGAAGTCATACATCAGCCTACTATAAATCACTTGGGGTAGAATGAGGAAATAAATGTGAGGTTTGGAAAACACAAGCCTGACACAGAAGCATGATATGGTAGTGTTCAAGACAGTGGGAAGAAAGGAGTACTTCAGTTATGTGGATATCTGTTGGAGCTTTGTCCTCAAAAAAGAGAAGCTAGGAACCTGTCTGTCTTAATGATAATGTCATCCTTCAAAAAGTAGAGAAGGCAGCGAGAGAAATCAATTCTAGGTCTGATTCTCACTAATAGTGAGGAACTGGTTGGCTGAGGTGGGAGCAAGAACTTTGTGGGGAAGTGACTGCTCCCTCCCAGAGTTTGTTGTAGAGAGGAAAACCAGACTTAGTTTAGCATGTATCCTAGGTCCAAAAAGAGCAGATTTCAAAGGAAAAATAGGATCTCACGAACCAAAATCCTAAAGAGGAAGTCATCTAAGAGAGGAAAACTCAGGAGTGAAATTCTGAGAATCCAATAAGAAAGAAAAATATCAACAGTTTGAACAGACATTTCAAAGAGGTTTTGTCAAGCAACTTGGATGTTTTTTTGTTTTGTTTTTTAAAGCATGTAGAGAAAGAAGCAAGTGCAAGTAACAGAATGGTGTGAATGTGGCATGGCAATGTAAAAATTTTGTCTGGAGTGCTAAAGCTCAGAATGAACTGAAGCTAGTGAGGAAGGCAGAAGACAAAAGTTTCTTTTAGGGAGTTATTTTGGGAGAAAAGAGGAAGATCAAAAAAGGGAGGGGGGAGACAGGTAAAGATGGCAGAGTAGAAGGAAGGAATACAGCCCAGTTCTCCCCCACAATTACTCTGACAAAAATAGAGGGAGAACACCAGACTGAGTCGAGATTAGGAAATTCAAGAAGAAACCTCAGTAGATCATTTTCCCAGCCCAGGTTAGCATAAGGTAATAGCCAGAGGTCTGTGGGCTCAGGGAAGAGGGTCTATCCAGGAAGTCCTATGCAAAATATTACAGCATGCAAACCGAGCCAGGGCTTGTGGCTATCTTTGTGCTAGGTTAAGAAGAGATCTTGGTCCAGTGTAGATGAAGAGGAGGAATAGAAGTGAGAGGCAGCTGTGTAGCGCTGACCACAGAGTGGGGTCATAAATTCACTGGGGTCTGCAGCTGAATAACTAAGGCAGAGAACAGGATCAAGGGGAAGGTCTACAGTTATGTTGCATTAAACCTGTAGAGTCTTTGAGCTAGAGCTCTGACCAGGGAGAAATCTGCAATTGTTTGCCCAGGCCCAAAACAGAGTTGAGAGTTTGCAAAGTTCAAATGACAGAGGCAATAATTAGATTTTATCCTAGAGCTGAGAACTTGGGGCATGCTAGAACTTTACAGGTCCCCAACCTGAATTGCCCCTGAGACCCTTGAAGAACACAGTATCTAATATTTGGAGAAAGCAGCAGCAGGACCCCAGAAAATATAATTCAGGAGCAGACAAGGCCTAAACATTTTCTCCAGAAGTACAGAGAACCTAGTCCTATCAAAAAGTCTCAATTGTGTAAGTAAGGTTGGAATAGTAAGTGTACAACTATCAAAAAAAAACCACAAAAAACCCCTAACCGTAATAAAGAGCTCTAATGAAGCTGAGAAAACCCTAATCACAGTCCCAGAAGAAAAAAATAACTCTACAACATCTACAAGCAAAGTCTCAAAATAAAACAGCTTGGCCACAAAAACTAGAACTTTTAGAAGAAATAATGCAAGAATTTGTTGTTGTTTTAATCATCTTAGAAATAAAAAGGTGTTGTTAGAGGAAAGAACTGGAAAAGAAATGAGAGTTTCCAAGTCAACTTGGAAGTAGAATTTACAGCTTAGTTGCAGAGGTACAAGCCCTTTTCCAAGTAAAAGGCCTCTTGGAAATTAGAATGGAATAATTTTGTTATGTTTTGATGATCTTAGAAGAAAAAAAAGGAGAGGAAATGGAATATACTAGAGAAGAACAGGTGAAGAAGAGAGTAGAACACAATCTAAAAGATAAGTAGAAAACCATGTGAACAAAGAGGGATGGGGGGAAGTAGGTTTCACTTGAACCTCACTTTCATCTGAACTAATCAAGGAATATATCAATTTGATCTAGAAATACATTCAACTCAAAAGGGAAACAATGGAATTGTGAAAAGAGGAGAGGGACTCATGAAGGGATTCATCGTGAGCAAAACAAGCTTTATCCTTGGAGAGAGGTTCATGAAAGAAAGAAAGGGTAACTAACAACTTGAGGTTGTCTGGCTGAGGGGAAGGAAAGAGAGGCAAGGAGTGGAAGAAGAGTACATAAAGCATTGATTACTAGTGTTTTACACAGTCCTTCCAACCATTCTCTTTGTAAAGAGGGAAGTGGGAGGCAAAGAGGAAAAAGTATAAGGGAATAGAATGAAGGGAAATACACAGTGATGATAACTATGAACATGAATTAAATGAACTTACCAATAAAGTGGAAGAAAATTGCAGAATGGATTAGAAAGCAGAATCCAACAATGTATTGTTTACAAGAAACATACTTGAAACAGCTGATCAGTCAATTAACAATTATTAAGTGTCTACTATGTGCCAGGCACTGTGCTAAGCACATGGAGATACAGAAAGAGGCAAAAGACAGTCCCTGCCCCAAAGGAATTCACAATCTAATCCAAATAAAAATTTGCACAGTTAAAATAAGGGGCGAGGACAAAATCTGGTATGCTTCAACTGAACTCAAAAAAGCAGGGGTAACAATCATGATCTCAGACAAAACAAAGCAAATATAGGCTTGTTAGAGAGAGAGAGAGCTCCTGCTACTTTTTGCTGAAAGGTACCATAAAGGTACAAAATCAATACTTAACATGTATATCCTGAATGGTATGGTGTCTAAATACTTAAAGGAAAAATCAAATGGTTTGCAGGGAGAAATAACAAAACTAAAATAGAGGAGACCTCAATATGTTTCAAACTGAGACAAATCTTATTGTTGGGTTTTTTTTTTAATTTTCTGTTCCAAATTTTCTTTCCCTCTCTCTCATTCAGAAGGCACAAAAAACAAAACCCAAATTCCCACATTAGACATGTCAAAGCAAAATTAAAGAAAGCAAAGAAAATGTACTTCAATTTGTACTCTGAGTCTATTGGCTTTCTGGAGGTATGCAGCATATTTCATCAGTTATCCTATGAAACTGGTCATTGTTTTGATCAGAGTTACTAAGTTGATTATCTTCATATTATTGCAATTATTAGACAAACTGTCCTACTAATTTCTGCTCACTTCACTTTACATCAGTTCATCCAAGTCTTCCCTGGTTTTTCTGCAATTCTTTTCATCATTTCTTACAGCACAATAATGTTCCATCACATTCCTATACTATAATTGTTCATTCATTCCCCAATTAATGCCTGTCCTTTCATCGAGACATATCTAACAAAAAAATAAACAAGAAGATAAGTACCTGAATAAAATTTTTGAAAAATTAGATATGATCAATTTCGTGATGATTTAATGGGAACAGAAAGGAGTATACATATATACTCAGTAGTGTATGGCACCTTTACAA